TTATTTTTATTGTAGATATGTTTTTTAATAGAGCAATAATTAAAATAATATAATATAATTAATAGAGAAAATAATAGTAATAATTAAAAATAATATAATTAATAGAGAATGTCATAATAAAATCTTCATTTTAAAAAAACTAACCGCTCTTCCTACCAGAATTCAGATTAGGAATTTTGAATTTATAATAGTATTGTAACCATCATGCCACCTAAAAGAAAAAAAAAATTAGAAGAGCTAACGTCATTTACAAACCAACAAAACAACTCGCGATTATAAAGAATTTATTATTTGATATCTGCGAAATGCTGTTTATTATTATCATTATCATCATCATCATCATCATCATCATCATCATCATCATCATTATTATTATGCTTTTGCATAAATAGCAATCCACTTTTACCAGAGAGAATTTTTTTTAACCATTGATCTTTTGGAATTTTTGATTGGGAGAGAGAAAAATTTTCAAAGAAAATGCCATTTTGAAACATTCGAAAAACAAACTCGGGTCTTTCACTATGATAAAAATTGCACATATGATAAATTTTTGTTTAAAATAAAAATTTTCAAAATCGGAGCATTCCCAATATTTGGATCTAATATTTGCACCCTGATAGGAGCAGGACTGCTGATAATACATATAAAGGTCACATTATAGGTAGTTACCGAAATTGCCTCTCTTAGTCATCGAAACTAAAGTGTCAAAACTAATATTCATAATTGCTGAACTAATGCATGATTATTTTATATAAATAATATTGAAAAGCCCAGAACTATTGCCGAAATTACTCTTTTTCTAAAACCATTTATAGGTCACATGCAAATATCAAGTGAAAATAACTTGTAGATTTAAATGGCTATTAATTTAGTGTAGGGTTGATGATAGATAATGAAAAATAAGTAAAATTTGCATGGGTCAGACTAAAGAGTTATTTACAAATATACGAGGTTTCATTAATTAGAAAATGCTATATATCAAATTAGGGAAGAATTGTATACAGGGCCGGTTAGGGAGGATCCCACATTATTATAATTGAGGTAACATCCAATTTTGATCAAGTTTTTGCTGAAGTTACATGAAAATTTGGGTAAAGGGTTTAATAAATTGTGTAACTATTTGGGTATAGCATAAATTTTTTATTATAAGTCAATTTTATGTCATGAAATTATTTTAAAATAGCAAGGGTTAAGTTGTAATTGATATTAATATGATAATAGTAATAGAAAATTTCACCATATTCGTATCCTTTTTTATTGAAATTTGATATATTCTTCGTAAGGGAGTTGAATTGCATGCCCCGAATATCCCTGCATTTATTCCCAAGAATATATAGATAAGGTTATATCCTTTATTCTTTAGACAAATAAAAGGACCGGGAAACTCTATTGAATGTCACCGTCAACACCATGATTCGAAAGCACTTTAAAATTTAAAAATGTCACCCGCCCAGTGTGTAAAATTCAGCGGGAGTGTACCGTTACACCATAATTATGTGAACGAAATAAATTTTAAATTTGCCATACATTTGTAATTGATTATTAAGGAAAGGGATAATTTGTTATCATAAATAACAGGGCTTGTTATACGAATTTAGTGGAATTATTGACAAAGAAGAACTTAAACAAGAATAGATTCTAGTAAAACTTTTCCTCTGGCGCTATAAAAATAATAATGGAGAAATGAATTTCATTCAGTTGCAGAAACACATTTTAGATACTGATGAGGTTTTTCCTTTTAATAATCCAAATATATTATTAGTTGTTAGAATATCACTTTTTATACCCCTTTCTAATGCTCATGTAGAAAGAAGATTTTCTCAAACAAAGTAAATTAAAAATAGTTGAGAAACCGAATGTAGATACATTAGATGATCATTTAATGGTTTTATTAAATGGTCCAGAAATTGAAATTTTTTTTGATTTTTTAAAAGCATTAGAGCATGGAAAGTAAAAAAACGAGAATAATAATACAATATTCATTATAATAATTAAATAAATATGTGTGCACATGAGTTGTGTAATGTTATATCCTCCTGCTGAATTTTACTCACTGCACATCAATAAGGAAGAAAAAAGATCGCCGATTACACTATAATTTGCAAAGAAAAAATGTCATCGGTCACACCGATTCGCAAACATAGATCATTATGGTAAATCAATATGTGCGGTTTTTTTTAAGGATGTTACGTGTACATGGAATATTTGAAAGGCACCTAATTCGGAAATTTTCCGAAAGGCAAATCCTTTATTATTATCCATTTGTCATCGTGGATAAAGGTTTTGCCTGTTCGGAAAATGTCCGAATTACCTGTTGAAAGGGTAGTGGAAATTTTTTTTTTTTTAATAATGATGAAAGAAAGCCAAAATTATCCCCAAAAAATAAAATATTATTAATTTATTTTTTCAAATTAATGCACAAACAAACAAATAACATATAACAAAGCCGAAGCTGCAGGTTCTGGCCAAGTAGCTTTACTTTCATTTTTATATTAATGTAAATAAATAACATATGTAAAATTTTGAGTTATATCAATTGACCAGAAGATGACAATTATTTCAAGATTACAAGCACTGATGTTACTGCTATTATTAAAAGGTATGTGTGATTATATTAATATATTTATTTCTTTTTCCAAAGGTTGCAAAGGTTGAACGATCTGATGATCTGACAGTGTACAATCCGTTACGCGATCATATTTTTATTATTATTAATTATTTATTAAAGGTTCCAAAGGTTGAACGATCTGACGATCTGACAGTGTACAATCCGTTACGCGATCAAATTTTTTTTATTATTAATTATTTATTTTTAGAAAATAGAAATTATTTGTTTGGTATATTATTATTCAATTTAATGAATTTAATTATCAGATCATTTGGAATAAGTTAAATATCAACAAAATATATTTATAATAATAATTTTTACCACCATTACCACCATCATTACCATCACTACCACCACAACTCTTTAGAGCTTTATTCCGAAATATTCAAACTATACATGAAGTCGAAACTATTTCGACCATTTGCAGATCTGGTCTAAATAGGGTTGAAATAAGGTCGAAACTGATTTTTACTATGTAGTTGCCTCAAGTCGAAATATTTTGACTTTGGGGTTTTAATTTCGACTTCATGTATAATTCAAACCTTGCTTGATGTACTATGCCAAAGGTCTATTAATAAATAAATTTCTTTATTGTTAATTATTATTTCTCC